TGTTACAGGAGAAACATTGATCATTTATTGGGATTGGTACTCTTATGTGGATTATTCTCACAGAAATCTTGTTATAGTCATTTTTAAATAGATGACTGAACTTAGAAACTGGTGAAATTGTAGACCATTTAGTATGGAACTTAGAAACAATGCATTAAAATGTTTTTGTTTTGAAAATAAGGGTCCTTGAATTTCCTTAATATGCTTGATCTTTGTTAAGCTCATGTTTGACACACAGGTTTTTGGTTTTGTTTTTGTTTTTAGGGATACCAGGGATAGAACTTGGGACCTTCTGCTTGCCAGGCAGGTGCTTATGCTGCTTTTTCTTGCATTTTTAAGTAAGGGTCTACAGTCTCACTATATAAATCAGACTCATAGTGATCCGCCTGTGTTCAGCCTTCCAAAGAGCTGGGATTACAGGCGCTTGCCACCAGTCTCAATCGCATCTCAGTGCAGCCCAGGGGCTGGACCAGCACTATATTTTGACTGTCTTTTTGAGACAAAGTCTGCTTTTTGTGTGGCACTAGTTTTTTTTTTTTTTGTCCTTTTGATACGGGATCTTGATATGTAGCTCAAACTGGCCTTGAACTCACTTTGTATTCCAGGTTGGTCTTGAACTGAAAGGACCCTGTGACTCAGACTCCTGAGTGCAGGGATTACAGATGTGGACCACCACGCCCAGCTCACCCACAGGTTTTGCAAAATACTTTCTCTTTGTTTTGTCTATGGAGTCAGTTTGCAAAGGCAGGTGTTTCCAAATCAACATGAATGCTAAAATAGACAAAAATTGACTACTGATGAGAAAACAGGAGAAAGCTTTAATATGAAAGATGATACAAAACATGGATAATGGGGAGGAGGCCTACAAATGTTTGTCAGCACTTTTTCCTGATTGGTCAGCAATCAACCTTTCCTTGGACTGGACTCAGCAATCCTAAATGAAGAGGATTTGCTCCTGTTCTCAAGACGATCCTGGGAAGGAGCCTAAACTATTTCCCAAGCTGCAGCTAATGCCCGTTAGGTAGTAGAGAGCCAGGAACAACAGCTCCTGGAGCACACCCAGTTTTGGAGGTGGGCTTGGCGCGGGTCCGGCTCGGCAAGCAGTACCGAGGATCAAACCCGGGTCCTGGAGCTTGCCAGGCAGACGCTTATTCTACTGAGCCATCTCCCCGGCCCCCATCTCCGGTCCTTTTCTTCTCTTTCTTTCTTTCTTTCCTCCCCTATCTCCCCGGTCCTTTTCCTTTTTTTTTTTTGTGGCGGAACCAGGGATTGAACTCAGGCCCTTGTGCAAGCGCTTACTCTACTGAGCCATCTCCCCGGCCCCCATCTCCGGTCCTTTTCTTCTCTTTCTTTCTTTCCTTCCCCCCCCCACCCCCCAACCGGGGACTGAACTCAGGCCCTTGTGTTTGCCAGGCAAGTAAGTGCTTATTCACTGGGCCATCTCCACCGCCCCTTCTCATTTTTCACAGCCTCATTTTGGAACCGAGAGGAGGGGGAGAGATGGAGAGCTGGGTCGCCCCTTGGGTTCCACTCAGTAGTAGAACTAGCAAAGATATTTGCCGGCTTCGGGCCAGACCTCCAAACCCACGGGTGACAATGGCGACTTCCAGGAACTGCGGTCACTCAGGCGCCGCGGCGGCTGCGCGGGACCGTGGCGTCATCAGGCGGCGCGGGACCGTGGCGTCATCAGGCGGCGCGGCCCAAGCCCTGCGCCTGTAGCGGCTCGCGCAGGTGACCCGGCTTTAGGAGCGACCGCTGGCAGCATGAGTGGCTGCCGGCCCTTCTTGCGCAGGGTTGCGGTGGCGCGAAGCTGGCAGTCTCTGGTGGTGCCCAGAGTAAACCTGCGTTCGCTGCGCACGGGTCCGCCGCGGCGAGCGTTTGCCAAGGAGCTGTTCCTGGGCAAAATCGAGAAGGTGAGGCGATCCCGGCCGCCCTCGCTCTCTGGCGCCCGCCTTTCCTCCTTAGCAGCGAGCGTGGGATCGAGCCTCGTCAAGAGTCCCCAAACCTGCCCGATAAATGCGTGCAAGGGGCAGGGTGTCCCGACACTCGTGTACTCCTGAGTCGTCCTCGTACCTGCGGCGGGAACGCGCAGACCTTGCTGGGGGAATATGGCGTGGATTGTGTCGCTGCTCTTCACGCTCGGGACGCGTGAGAAAGCCAAGTCGAGGGTAGCACTGCCGGGAAGTGCGCGAGGCTTGCACCTTCATTCCTGAACACGGGGCACCCCCATGCCGCTGCTTCTCCTCCAGTGACCCGCAGCTTTCCTGACTGAGACAAGCCTTAGCCCTTCATCCTGCTTTTGGGAGGACCGCCCAAATTTGGCTCCCAGGGCCCTTTCCCACGACATCTCCTGTAGAGGTTCCAGAATCCAGCCAGTAGCAACAGCGTGGCTGTAAAGCACTCAGTCTCTTAAAGTCCAGGAACTTAGATTTCACCTTAGCTCTGTGACTTTGAAATTTAGTTCTTTCAGCCTTAAATGGGGCTAGTGATATTTGTATTACTGATGTGCTGTAGAACCCCAGTGAGATACATAATGTGTGAAAATTCCTTATTGTGCAGCCAGAGACAGTGCTGGCTTCAACACTTACTAGCATTGTGATCTTGGTTAGTTCCCTTCACATTTCTGCCTCATTGCTTTGTTCTGTAAAGTAGGAGCAAGCACAGGACTTGCCCCCTCCTTAGAGGTCAGTACTTTGAACCTGGCTGGAATCAGGGCTGATCCTGGATGGTGGAAGCAGTTACTTACTGTGATTACTTTAGAACAGCCCTCTCGGGGCCAGGGAGATAGCTCTGGAGTTCCACTGACTCAGCTCAATCTCCTGGAGGGTCCTTTGGTTTCTCTTAGACTCATAGTTCACATCAAATGCTATACTGAACTCCTTTTCTCTGTCTTCAAGTTCTATTCAGAATTCAGCCCCATTTATGTACCTTGACAGTGACTGTTCTGAGTTAGGCTTCCAAGAGTCTCACGGTGGCCTTGAGTCAGGTATATATATTATAAGTGAGAAACCAGAGACTCAGATGTTTGTCATTTGTTGGTGGCCTCCCAACTAGTAAGCAGGACACAAAGATAAACCTAAATGTGAGTCCCAGGCTCCTTATCTGTGGGACAGTCCTTATCATTTGCTACTGATGAAAATGTTTG